ATTTTTCAAAATGCTTTTCCTAAAACAAACATCAGTCTTTTTTTTGTTTTTCTTCACCCTGTCCAAATCGACATCTACCGAGTAATGGTCCAAATGATAAACAAGTACAGGTATCGGTCATTCTGTGTGTAGAAACGTTCATTTTGCATTCTGCTCTTGTAAAAGCTTTTACAGAAATACTATAGAAAACCAGTTTAGAGGTTCCAGAGATATAGATTTCATTGTTTGGAGAAAAATGTCCTTTATAGACATTGCAGCAACAATTATCAGACCTACTAGGCTATTGGAGTTAATTGGGTGAAACCGCTTAATGGCCCATCTGCAGGCGTTCTCTGAACTGCAGTGAGCCTGAAGTGTACGTGCACACAGAGGAAGGATGCAGCGCAGCATCACAGACCTCCACAATCACAGAGCGTCCGAGGGTCGCGTCCACTTTCAACCCTACCTCCAGCATGGCGGTACTCTCCCCTCACTGCTTTGATGCTTCCTCAAACACTTACTCTGCTGCAGACAACAGACTCAACATTTTTTGTAAAAAAAAAAAATCTGTGGTTTTGATAAATTTACAGCCCTGGATGTTTTCCGAACAGCTTCATCTCTGCCTGATCCGGCAGGTATTAACCATAAACAATGTGTTTGTCTGTTAAAATGGTCCTGAATGTGAGGGTTCACTACCCAGACAGTAACGGTACAGCACGGGTTGACTCGACTCAGCACAGTTCCAAGGTTTGCACTAGTAACAGTTCGTGGAACCGGTCCCTTTTTTCAGTCCCTTTTTCTCTGGGGTTCCAACCGTGCCCAACTGTTCCTAAAACGTGACGTCAGAACACTGTCGGCCCCTGACTGGTCAGGGGGTGGAGTCGCTGGTGGTTTGAGAAACTTTCACAACAACCCAGTCTGCCATTTGCAATAACTCAAATGCAAGTGAACCTAATTTTAAGATTTTTAAAATAATTATAACACTGTGGTCTAATGTGGAAGTGCAGGTGTTTTTTGTGCTAGGTGGCCAACGACAAAATTCAGAGTGAGCTACATGCAGCTCCGCCGGTCCTCTCCACTCAGGCCGGGCAGGGCATCGTCTCCCCGGCTCCGAGCTTCGCCGGTCACCACGAAAGATCCTCCGTGCTGATACCCACAGGAGCGCTCGAGGCCGGGGCCTGCCAAGCCTCGGCCTCGCGCGCTCCTGCGGGTTCTGAGCTGAACCCGCACACTAGAACTGTTGCTGAAAGTATAATGAAAACACAATTCATACCGTGCCAAGCCGAGTCAAACCGTGCTAATGGTACTAATGGAGAGGCATTACAGTAGGGTGGAAGAGTTTCTCCCAGGGGTGAGGGTCCAATGGTTGCAGTAGTTGTAGCGAGGAGGTCCCAGAAAGGTTGCATAGATCAGGTGGTGGAAGGCGAGGAACGACTGGAGAAAGCAGTAGGAGGCTCACAATGGAAACGGGGAGGTCCAGGGCGCAGGAGACGCACAGGAGGAGAAGCAGTCGGCAGATAATGCACCAGCGTCAGAGTGAAGTCATCAACTGTTATATAAACTCCTACAGCTCGTTAGAATAATGGTCCGCAGGTGTGAGCTTGTTGGCGCTAGTGTTGTAGTACTCGAGACTGGTCTTGGTCTTGACTTGGTCTCGGGTTAGGTGGTCTTGACTACAACACTGGTTGGCGCCATCTGGAGTTGAGGAGCTGTAGGGAAAAACTGGAACTCCTACACCGAAGAATATTTGCAGATAAGAAATCTGAAAAATACCAACCTTTCTGTACATTCCAGATTAAATTAAAGGCCTTTAAGGAATGCATGTCAGTGGCAGCCTTTTGAGTTTTACACTAAGGTCAAATTGTGTTGTGAAATAACAGCTGAAGCCATTTTGGTTAAACCTTTAAGATACAGTTAGGCACAATTTCATGCAACAATATGAAACATCTTGCTCACTTTCGGCTACTACCACACCACATTTCAGCTCTATGTCTGTCAAATTGAGTGAGTTATAACCATGTATGTGTTCTTCAAGGTCAGCTGGCTATGGTAGCCATCTTGAATTGGGTTGATTACAGAAGATAATCAGCTGTAGATGCATGCAGAATGATTACTTTCTGCAAGTTTCAATAAAAATTGTCCAGTGGTTCAAGAATTATTTAGTAAACAGGCACATATGTAAAACCTTTCTTGCACACTTTCACCTTTTGGCGACTTTAACAAAAAACTAAACACCTGCTTGGATGTTGGTTTTTTTTGGCCATATGTGGACCGGAAATTGTACATTTTGTTGATTCTAGTAATAATCTCAAGCCTATCTGAATAATATTAACAGAACCTGTGATGATGATAATGGAGCCGTGGCCTAATTTCATTTCCAAAGAGCCACTTTCACATTCAGCGAGCAAAACGCCACAAAAATCCTTCTGTTGGGATTTATCCAGAAATAAATGAATACATAAAACAGGCGCCACTTAGCTGCTGCAGCCTTTGTCTGCAGTCTGGAAACGTGAGTGAAGAGAAGTTTAACGTCACAAAAACCCTTTGAATACACGGAAATGAGCTCATTCGCAGCCTTTCTCTCCGACGTGCTTTTGTTAAGGCCCAGTCTTTGTTGTTGTTATTCATAACAGGATCTGACTCTTAATTTGTTGGCTCGTCATCTCACCCGATGTGTCGATAAACTGCTGGTTTGTCCAGAGGAGCAGAAACGCTGGTGTGAAAACACGACGGCTCTGTGAATCATCGCCGCTCGGCCTTTTCCAGATTTCAGCTTCAACGTAGAAATTGCCTTTTCCTAAAAGGAACTTTTAAATATCTTCACCACTGAAGGCCATTTGCTCTGTACTGTTAGCAAAATATCTCATAGATGACTGAACTTCCTGCCTTGGCGTTTTTGAAGATGTTCCACTTCTCACCCAAAAGGCTCTCAGCTCTGTGAGATGAAGAGGATGGAGGTCACGGGTCACACCTGCCCCTCCTGTGAGTCATGCGGGTTGTTTACACCTGAGAGTTGTTTACCAGCCTGTTGGAAGTTGTTTTCCTCACATCTTGAGAGATGAAGCTGCTCGAGGAGGAGAGTGGTTGCTTTGTAAAAGTTGTGCGACCGATGAGACCACCTCCTCGACTTCTCTTTAAAACCTGTCGTCTCAAAACGTCCTTTCATCTTGTGACGAGCCTTGACCTGAGGAGCCATTTTATTTGTCCCGTGATGTCATGTGGAGACATTTACTATAAAGGTTGGGCAGAATACACCTCACAGCATGGCGGCAGCCATCTTGGATTTTGACATAGCAACCCAGTTTTTGATAGGAACCTTTCTTACGTCCAGCGGCAGCCACACTGAAATGGCGCTCACAGCGTTCATGGACTGACGGAGGTTTCCAGTTCCAATTTTTTGCTCAACACCTTCAGAGTTTCTCAGGTTCTGTTTTTCTGTCTGTTCTGCTTTACGTCTGGTGGAGTGTTTTCCAGATGTTCTAGTTGACGATAAATATCCAGTTTGGTGTTAGAAGAAGTGCTTTCTTGATGCGTTTGTGTTCTCTGTCCTGCTGGGGTCACGCTCGACTCGGCGGTGCAGAACTCGGTTTGTGGTCTAGTGAGTGGCGAGAGTCAAGGTGCAGATGTTTGGCTTCGCGTGACGCTTTTCAGTGACGCCGTTACGAGATATTATCGCCCACTGACAAAAGGCAAAGGCAGACAATGTGGTTTTTGCCTGCGTCTATGTGCATAAAATATTATGACTATAAAAAATGTGATTAAACTTGCAGAAAGTAATCACTGATGTACAGTATGTCTGCAACTGATTAACTTTTGGACTCGACTTGATTGTATAAGGCCGCGACAGACTAAAAATAAAAAAAAAGTGGCTCTAACTCAGTAAACTTTACAGATTTTGAATGAAAATTTGTCATGGTAGTAGCTGAGACTGATCCTCTAAACATATTCTGAGCACTAATAGATTGCATAAGATATTTGTTTAAAATTGTACCATTAACTGTTTAAAATCAACTCTGTCTCACAATAGCTCATGAGTCACTGGATGGATTTTATTGAAGCTTTCTGGAAATAGTAATTAAAAGTAAATCTACAGCCGATTAGGTTTTGCGGCCAACCCAGTTTAAGATGGCTGTCAACCTTGTTTGTCTGTTAGCAAAATATCTTGTGAACCAGTGGACGGATTTCAACGAGAGTTTCAATAAATAATCCCTAAATGCATATTTTTAACTATTTGCCATTTGAAGTCAATCCAATTTAAGATGGCCCCCAGAGCTAACTGACATCAAATACACAAAAATTGCTATAATTCAGCCAATTTAACAAACTTAGAGCTAAAACTTGATGTGGTTGTAGCTGAAAGTAATACACAATACATACTCCATGTGTTACATAGTAAACAAAATATTTGCTTAAAACTTTAGCATTTACTGCTGCTGTCAACCTTGTTTGTCTGTTAGCAAAATATCTTGTGAACCAGTGGACGGATTCCAACGAGATTCTCAAGAAATAATCCCTACATATACCTTTTTAGCTGCTTGCCATTTGAAGTCAATTCAATTTAAGATGGCCCCCAGAGCTAACTGACCTCAAATAACACAAAAATTGCTATAATTCAGCGAATTTTACTAATCAAGAGCTAAAACATGATGTGGTTGTAGCTGAAAGTAATACACAACACATACTCCAAGTGTTAGATATGAAGCAAAACATTTGCTTAAAACTTTAGCATTAACTGCTGCTGTCAACCTTGTTTGTCTGTTAGCAAAATATCTTGTGAACCAGTGAACGGATTTCAACGAGATTTTCAAGAAATAATCCATAGAAGTACCTCTTTAACAAATGGCCATTTGGAGTCAATCCAATTTAAGATGGTCGCCACAGCTAATTTATATTTGCCAACACAAATGTGGCCATAAGTCATACATTTTACGCATATTGAGGTCAAAGTTGATGTACTAGTAGCTGGGAGTTCTTCCCAACAAACTAAAACAATCAAACTGATGTTATGATGGTTATGTTTAAAACATTTCGATTTTATTGTTAAATCATGTCCGTGCGCCTGTCTCCATCCAAGCCCTTGTTCCCCCGACGCGTCGCGGCTGACAGATCCACGGGCTGGGCGGTGCGTGGCACCACGTGACCCAGCTCCGAGGAGGCGAAGCTTCATAAGACTGAAGGCACAAAGAGAAGGACAGGAGGAGAGGCTGGAGGCAGCAGCAGCAACCTGTGTCCACGGAGGAGGCGCGCCGACCAGGAACACTTCTCCAGACATCCCACAAACTTCTCCGACACGAAGAAGAGACAGAGACAACCCTGAAACAAGTGATGGTGTGACCCGACGCAGAAACGCCATCTGTTCCTCCTTGAAGTCGCATCTTTGGAGAGATGCGCTTCTGACTTGGATTTACGCGCGGTGAGACAGGACGGTTCTGCACACGCGGGAGAATTATGTAAGGTAAAAAAAAAAAAGATCTCACTGTTTCTACTTTAAGACTTTGCTTAGATCTGATGTTGGCACTCTGAATGCTTTGTCTCGTTATCCCAGCATCCAAAATATCATTTTTGCTTTTTTTTTTAATTCTGTTTTATCAATCAAAAAACATTTGTTTCCTTCTTAAATTATCAGACTTTTATAAAATCCAACAAAAAAAAAAAAATCTATTTAAATGATTCATCTATTGTCAATATATTAAAATGCATTAATTTATGTCTCATCTAAAAAAAAACAACTGTCAAAGAATTTCAGTGCCATAAATCTGCAGGATATAAAGGTCTAAGGCATTTTTCTGTCTGCAAAGAAAAAAAAAATAGCCGAAAAGATCACGAGTACAAAGTTATTCTCTTTTCAAGGTTTTGTGATTTTTCAAAAACATGTCTGAAGTGTTTGTTGTCGATTCGTAGGTTGTCCGGACATCTTAGACTGCAGCATTACCCTCAGACACAGCCATGAAATCCGTGCTCGATGGTGTGGCGGACACCACCTTCCGGACTATCACATCTGGCTTACAGTATCTGAGCTCCAACGATGCCAACTATGACAACCCCATCGGCGATGCAGACTTCAAGGGCAGCTTCTCCATGCAGAAGCCCCTGTCTGCTTTCCGCAGCAACTCCTTCCCCAACAAAGTACCTGCCGATGAAGAGCTCATCCTGAAGGGCGTCCCGTTCTTCCCCACCAATGCTACAGACGTGTTTGGCAACCGGAGCACGATCAGAGATGAGACTAACATACAATGTGGGGAGAACTTCATGGACATGGAGTGCTTCATGATTCTCACCCCCAGCCAGCAGCTGGCCGTGGCTGTGATGTCTCTGACTCTGGGCACCTTCACGGTGCTGGAGAACCTGGTGGTGCTCTGCGTCATACTGCAGTCCCGCACCCTCCGCTGCCGGCCCTCCTACCACTTCATCGGCAGTCTGGCTGTGGCTGACCTTCTGGGCAGTGTGATCTTTGTCTACAGCTTTTTGGACTTCCACGTCTTCTACAGGAAGGACAGCCCCAATGTTTTCCTTTTCAAGCTGGGCGGGGTCACGGCGTCGTTCACGGCGTCGGTCGGAAGCCTTTTCCTCACCGCAATCGACCGCTACATCTCCATCCACCGGCCCCTCGCCTACAGGCGCATCGTGACGCGGACCAAGGCTGTCATAGCCTTCATCATGATGTGGGCCATCTCCATCATCATCGCAGTGCTACCTCTGCTGGGCTGGAACTGTAAACGACTCAATTCTGTTTGCTCAGACATCTTCCCCCTCATTGACGAGAACTACCTGATGTTCTGGATCAGTGTAACCAGCGTGCTGGTTCTGTTCATCATCTACGCCTACATTTACATTCTGTGGAAAGCTCACCACCACGCTGTGCGCATGCTGAGCCGTGCCTCCCAGAAGAGCCTCGTGGTCTACTCAGCAGATGGGACTAAAGTGCAGACGACGCGCCCCGATCAGGCGCGCATGGACATCCGTCTGGCTAAGACCCTAGTGCTTATCCTGGTGGTGCTGGTGATCTGCTGGGGCCCGTTGCTCGCCATCATGGTCTACGACCTCTTCTGGAGGATGGACGACGACATCAAGACGGTGTTTGCGTTCTGCAGCATGCTCTGCCTGCTCAACTCCACCGTCAACCCCATCATCTACGCCTTGAGGAGCAAGGACTTGCGGCACGCCTTCCTCAGCTCGTGCAACGCGTGCAGGAGCAACACCCAGCAGCTGGACAACAGCCTGGAGTCGGACTGCCAGAACAGGAACGCACACATTTCTGCCAACAGGGCTGCAGAGAGCTGCGTGAAGACCACTGTGAAAATAGCCAAAGTAACAATGTCCGTGTCCACCGAAACCTCTGCAGAAGCTGTCTAACTAGCCATGGTGGGGGGGATAAAATGTGTAAATGTCATCACACAATGCCATTCTGCACAAAACAACAGAGGCTATACGTATTCAAGAGAAGTCCTCTTCACATTAAGGCTTGGGTGGCGCCATAACTTTATGTTTGTCTATCTATAAGAACAAGGTGTGCCAAAGTGCCAAATGGTATTGCAAGACCTCTGAAAGGACTCAACTGGAAATGAGTATATGAAAGACTATCATAAGTCTGCTGTTTACCATAGACTTCATGATACCCAGTTAGTAAAGGCATATTATATTTTTGTACTGTGATTTCAGGTTTAAAAAAACTATATCTTCATTTATGGGAAAAGGGGCTACTGACATTTTTAAGTAGAGATGTTTTACAGCGTCATTTAGGACTTAACATGTGTCTTGCACGGTAAAAACAGCCCAACGTTGCAACGCCTTGACTTTCTACAGGCTTCATGTTGCGCACGTTGGACTTTTCTATAAAGATAAGAAAAATGCAGTCAGTTAAACGTTCCTTTCGAATTTGCCATGAAACGTGTCACTTTTCTCTGTGTCCTGACGTCGCTCCACGAGTGGCCAAAAGAATTTTCAGACGCGACGAGTCAATGAAAAAAAAAAAAAAAACTAACTAAAGGGGCGAGTGAAACGGACGCACAGCTTCGAGTTTATGTATTTCGAGACGGTACTTTTCGTGGCAGAGTGCTTTCTTTTTTGTTTTCTTGCTGGCTGTTGTACTTGCTGGGTACCGTGACTTTATTCAAACGTGCACCCGACAAATGTACAGTGATTTTCTTGCAAAGCGAAGCGTTCCGGTTGAGTCCTTCGTGACGCAAACGCCAAGATTTTGTTCAAAGCTTGAGGAGACGCAGTGTGCTGGTCACTACTGCGGTACCCTGAAGACTATAGCTGCTTTCATCCCATGTATGACTTTACTGGACGTGTGTGATTCCTTGTGACTTGGTGTTTCGAACCCCAAAGCCTTTTCTTTTTACTGTTGCGGTGAGCTGTTTTAGTGCCACTGTTCCAACAGTGGGGATGGACGGGCATCATTTTGCAAAACAAAAACAAAAAAGAAACCCGTGCACAGAGCTAGTGACGTAGTTTTGGCGTAACTCTGAATACAAAAAAAATTAAATATGTCTGCTGTTAATTTGTTACTTCTTAAAACAAAGGTCTTTAACTGGTCACTTGAATGGAAGTTTGTGTGGGAAAAACTACACAGAGCTGAAAAAAACAAAGGAAAAAAAACGAACCTTACAGTGAGAAGATGTGATTTTTTTTTTCTAATAGATTTTGTAGTACTTTCAATCTAGAAAACCTCACAGCACAATGGTTCTGTAGACATTTATCTCGGTGTGAAGTTATCCAAACAGCTGTTTATCAGTAACGCTTTGCTGCCTCAGTGTAATTTTAAATATTCAAGGTCAAAATGTCAACTGTTAAGTGGCTTCTGTATATTGGTGGCATAATGAGAAATCTATGACTTCAGAAATCAAACAGTCAAGTGTTTTTACTATTGCTGTGTTCAAACCTTTTGAATAAAGTTCCAGCTGGTGTCGTTGTGCCAGGAATTGTTTTGATTGGTTAATTGATGGCGGGAAACGTGAGGTCTGGTGACTCATTTTGCTCGCGGCAAACGCGATGAAGGGTACACAAATCTATCATTGAAGATATACTGCCCTCTTGTGGGCGATGTGAGAATATGTTTAATTTTTTTTTTTATTATTAACTACCATAAATGCCATTTTCAGATTATCTTTATTTATCTTAGATTTTTTTTTTTTTAATCTGGAAAATAGGAAAATGAGGCAGGTTTACTCTTAACATCTGTATAAGAAAAAAAAAGGTTAGAAATAGAAAAAAATAAAAGTGAATTCAAACAAATAGGGATGAAAAAGTTAACGTTTTAATTGTTAATCACCTTTTACTGATAGACTTACTAATAAATATAAAAACATTTATTTTATTTTATTAGCATTGTGGACTTCTAAACAGTCAAAAAAGAAAATATTTGATACATTTCTTGATGCTGTGACTTCAGCTCTGAAACACTCATGACACTTTGTCCATACTTTTGCTTAAAAAGTCACATTAATTGTATAATTTCATATAGTTGACCACAAATTAATAATCTTGTTTAGTCGTTCACGTAAAAAAAAAAAAAGTTGGACTTTTGTTGCTGGGTGAAGAAGTGCTAAAACTTTTAGCTATTCTTGGGTTTGATCCATTTTAAGAATTTTAATAAACTAAAAGTTTATTATTATTTATGCCTTTGAAATAAATACAATTGCTAAAATGTTAATCAATAACAGTTGTTTAAAGCATATGAAACACAAACCGCTGGTAAGTATATACATCTAATAAACACCTTTTTAATTTAAATGGTTTAGCCACATTAGCGTTAAGGTGAGTAATTGACACTGACATTTTAATATCACTACTTGTAAAAAATGTACTGTAATTACATATGATAATTCTAACCAATCAGACAATTTATTATGTTTATTTAGTGAATTGGACGTTAACCATATATGTTAATTAGCATATATTTCAAAGGATATATATATATATATATATATATATATATATATATATGTGTATATATATATATGTATATATATATATATATATATATATATATATATATATATATATATATGCTGACTATCTCATGCTGCTGTATTCACTCATCCACATCAACTCACTACAGACTCATGTTCGGGCTGCTGTCTAATATACAGTATTATTTTACATTTGTGTTTAGCGTATATCTTAGATCTTTTAGCGTATTGTTTAGCGTTCGTTTAGCGTATATTTTAGTGTATATCTTCGAGGATTCAAGGTTCTTTATTGTCATTCACATCACATGTGGTACATGAGGTGGAAAGAATCTATGTACACAGGGTCCCAGTTACATCCAACAAAAATACAAATCGTAAAGAAAAACAGTAATAAGATCCAAGACATGAACTAAGAAATATGCCAAACTAAGAATACACTAAGCACTAATAGAACAAAGCAATGTGCCAAACAACAGCGGCATGAACATGAGTCTGTGTGAGCAGATGAGGACGAATGAACACAGTAAATGAAATAAACCAGCAGCATGAGATCAGCATCATGGATAGTCAGCAGCACATATCAACAACCAAGTGGCGTTACAGTGATTTTTTTTTCACAGTAATTTTTACAGTGATAATCCTGAGTAGAGATTCACGGGTCTAACAGCCTCAGGGTAGAAGCTGTTCCTCAGTCTAGTGGTTCTACATTTAATGCTCCTCAACCTCCTGCCTGAGGGGAGCGGGGCAAAAAATGTGTGTGCTGGGTGAGTGGGGTCCTTCATGATGCAGGTGGCTCTTTTCTTGCATCTGGAGGTGTAGATGTCGATGAAGGTGGGGAGGCTGACTCCAACAGACCTCTGTGCAGCGAGTGATGAGGGCTGCACAGAAGTCTGTTAAATCTTAGATACCTATACACGGTTTCTTTTTATATTTTATACTTTTGCTATTTTTGGGTGTAACTGGGACCCTGAGTACACAATTTTGTTCGACCTCATGTACCACATGTGATACGAATGACAATAAAGATACTTGAACTTAAATAAATATATACAGTATATATACTGTGCCTATCAGCTCTGCGAGGTGCTGGCTGACATATTTAACTCTTCCCTCACCCTGGCAACAGTTCCCACCTGCCTCAAGACTGCCACCATTATCCCAGTTCCAAAGAGCTCTACATTGACTGGTCTGAATGACTATTAGCTGGTAGCCCTCACCCTGATAGTCGCTAAATGCTTTGAAAAACTGGTCATGACCCACATCAAAGCTAACATCAAGATCAACGAGGAACCTCACCAGTACGCATACCGTGAGACCCGATCAACAGAGGACGCCATCTCCTCTGTGGTCCACACTGCTCTCATCCACCTGGAGCAGAAGGACTCCTACGTCCATATGCTGTTTGTGGACTAAGTCCTAAGAAGAAGAAAAAAAGTCCCTCTCTATGCAACTGGATCCTAGACACCTTAACCAACAGAACACAATCTGTGAAGATCCACGACTTCTCTTCTTCCACCGTAACCCTCAGCACGGGCTCCCCCCAGGGCTGTGTGTTGAGTCCCCTCATGTTCACTCTGCTAATGTATGACTGCGCACTGTTCCGTCCAGGCTGTCATATTGGAAAGTTCGCAGATGACACAACGATGGTGGGATGCATCACAAATAACAATGAGTCCAACTACAGGCAGGAGGTGGAACACCTGGAGAGCTGGTGCAGGAAGGACAACCTTCACATCAATGTGAAGAAGACAAAGGAGATGGTTGTGGACTTCAGAAGGAATACTACCCCCCCCCCCCCTCCCCGGAAATACGAGGATCTGTGGTGGAAGTGGTCTCCAGCTACAAGCGCACCTGAATGGCAACTTCAGCTGGAGCAACAACACCACCAGCCTGATCAAGAAAGCTC